TAAATTCTAATTAATAAAATAAAGTAATAAAAAAATAAATAGATATAATAAAGTGTAATACTAAATTAATAAAACAATATTAAAAATAAATCCTAATTAATAAAATAAAATAAAATAAAATAAAATAAAATAAAAGGGGGTAATGAAATAAAGATAAATATTTAATGAACGATGATCTTACGTGATAAATTCGATGGGAAAATATACGAATGCATTAGAATGTATTAGAATGCATTAGAATGCATTAGATGATTCGTTCCAAGTGATTGCGCCAATGTGATCGAAGAATCGAGCACTCGATCGTGGCATACGCATGTCTTTAAACCATCTCGATATCGTATCGCAATCCGTATCGAGGTGCTCAAGACCACAGGCCCGCTTGCGGCCTTCGACTTCCATATAAAGTCTCTTCCGATGAATTATTACGTCTCCCGTCAACGTTATTTCTGATGATTCTGCATATCATCTATGAAAATTCCAACAATTATTTATAATTAATTAAGAAAAAATAATCAAATAACCAAATTCTGCACACCCCCGTTTGGTTATATATTTATTAATTGTTTTTTTTTTTTTTAATTAATATTTACATTTATGTATTATATATTTTTTGTTCTCCATTAATTCGTGAATATATTTTAATTATTATTATTATTTGTCTTCGTATTTTCATGATTTAATTTCATCGATTATTTATTAAATATATTCTGACAATTTTTTGACAAAACACTCAATTGAAATTAATTTCAAAATATTTGATACTTTCGCATTTACAGATATTTTTTCTCATACAATAATAAAGTTTCCGAAGAAAGTTGTAATATTTGGAAAAGAATTATACCAAGTTTAGACCATGATTTTGTGATGGAGGTCATTTCGACACGGAGATACGAAGTTCGACCACCGCCCACGACAAACCATCATGGAATCCTCGTAAGTATTTTTACATATATGTATACATGCATCACAAGCATGATCGTCAAACGAGATTATACGAATAAACAAAAACAAAAAAAACAAAAATAAAAAGATTAATTATTCTTGATAAGTTGTAACCAGTTATCCACGTTTAAACATAACATTCCATTTTTGTTATTTTTTTCTTTTCTTTTCTTTAGGTCGACCCTGAGAATTCCGTGGCATTGGTCAAAGAAGGTAAACACTTTGTATTACTTATATTACACACGGTTAGTTAATTTATTTAAGATGTGATTATTTATTTTATTCCTGATTTAAATCTGAAATGAATTCGATCGGATAAGATTGCTATGAACAACGACCAATCACATATACAGGAGTCTTAATTGGGTTAAGAGGATTAACAGATATTCAATATTATATCAGCTTAAATGAAATCTAATATAATTGTGTCAATAAATTCTGACTGCAATTTTGTGGCGAACTTTTTTCAATGAGAATGGTTAATGAAATATTTGATTAATTAATTAATCGGTATTACAATATTAACGGAAACAATTAAATTCTACAAATCATCCTTAAAAAATGATCGAATATTTAATATATTGCTAAGAAAATAATTGAATATATTATTAATACATCAAATTTGATTTTAAAATTGATTTTTGAAGTAAC